ATAATTTGCCTTCCCTCGAAAAGGTGACACCAGACCAACTGGAGTGGCTCCCAGCGGTCCCCTTGTCGGAAAGACATCGGCAGCTAGTCCAGCCCGACCTGCAAGCACTTCCCAGCCTTCAGCTACTCGCCCGAAGTAGAAAACCACTGCCTAGAGGCCTAAAAAGAGAAGGCAAATTCAGACCAAGGAGTCAGAGTCTAAATCAGAGGACTTGGGCGTCCAGCCCAAGAGGTCGCAGCCTTACCAAGCATTCCGCTCAAGAGCGCCAGCTAGGGGCGTGACCGGTATCTCTATCGCTCCTGGGGGTCAGCAGGCAAGACAACAGGTGACCGCAGTCCCCAAGAGGAGGTCGGGAAAGGAGCCGGTGGAGGGGACTCTACCTGCTGCGAGCAGAGACACCCCTGTGTTGGAGTCAATGGGTCAGCTATCGGACCATTTACAGCCAGTAGTCTTCGTTTTGCTTGAATACAAGCTCGCAGACGCCTTTGAGCAGTTCGTGGCTTCCGGCACCATCGACCTGATGACCACATCCTTCCACCACCTGAGCTAGGTAAACGAGCTACCCTCGGCGAGGACATTTGCTTTTGTAATATAAAGGACTAACTTTGTTCTCTTCGTTATGTAGGCTCTGCTCTCCATGCACATGTCCCTATAGAAGGTCCAGCTAGGGGCTGCTGAGGGATTGGTCGAAATGAGGGAAGAGAATGTGTGGCTTAAGCGGGAGCTAGAGGACGCACGAACAGACAGAGACCTGTCCATCGCTTAGGCAGAGCAGCATTTGTCCAAAAGGGATGCTGCACTTCGAGTAGTGGACTTTCAGAAGTCCGAGCTGGAGAAGCACAGTGAGGAGGTGAAGGACCTCCAGAGGAGCATAGCTAGACTCACTAGGGAGGCTGGCGAGAAAGACCAGGCTCTGTAAATGACCTCTGAGCAGATCTTGCGAGCAGAGAGGGAAAGGGGTGAGCTATGGGAGAATACTAAGAAGCAGTGATCAACACTTGAGGCCAAGCTCCACTTTACCCAAGGTCGCATCACTTCGCTAACTGCGGAGATGTAGCAACAAGAAGCGGGGGTCGAGAGTAGGGCTACAGAATGGACGATTCAGTACATCTTTGCCCCTCTATCGAAGAACCCTGAGATGGATCTATCCGACCTCCCTGACGAGTACCAGAACGAGTACCAGAACGAGCTTGCTTCCATGGCGCAGGCCGAAGCTGAGGAAGCGGCTAAGGGACCTGACTTGGAAGAGGAACATCCTGAGTTCGTTCCAGAGGAGCCCGCACCCGAACAGGAGACCAGCGACCTGCCTAAGGGTGAGGATCAGTGATCCGCTTCTCTTGTTTTCTCCCTTTATGCCTATGTACTTTCCCTTCTTATAAATAAAGACATTGCTTTTTTTTTTTTTACAATCTTTCATGAGTATTTACAATTTTCGCATTCTTACATATGAGATCGCATTATAACTGTTTACAGTAACATTAGTACAAGTTTATGCGAACAGAATTGTATACATGGGAAAATGATTACAAATGAACAGAATTGTACACTCGCTATTTGCAAAGATTGCAAAAATTAAGAAAAGTAAAATCTTTATAAGGAAACAATTGAGTTCAGAATTACTGATAATATGGTCGGAGATGTTCAGCNGATTACTTCCTGAAATTATTTTCAATTCATTTACCTCAAATTTTGCACTGAAAGGTTCTATGTCTAGAATCTTTCTGACTTCTAAAATTACATCTAATCTACAGTGAAATATGATATAAACGGGAAGAAAAAAAAAAGGGAAATTCGGAGAACTTTATTTCTGAAAATCAGAAAATTACAAAGCTAGATCGATGATGATTGTTACTTACTGACCTCTCTTAAATACACGAATAGAGCTACATCACTCCAGCCATTCAAATCTCTCAATTTATTCCCTAAATACATTAGTTTGATTCCCGAACATCTCCCCTGATTTTCTCTGCTTAATTGCAGGGAGGTGTGTGACAAAATAGATCTGGAATTAAGATTTGGCTATTGATCATGAACATGCCAGACATGAAAAGTAAATGAGTTATTGGCTATTGTGAACACTGCAATCAGTTCCAGAGGGAATGGGTAAACTAGGGATGGGCACGGGGCGGTGGCGGGGACCCCTCTCTTCGGCCCCGGCCCAAAAGCTCAAGGGGATTCTCTAGTCCCGGCTTGTAGCCCAAACGGGAAATTCGGGGAATCCGTTTACGGTTTTGCATTATAAGATTTTTTTAATTTTTAATGATTGAAAAAAATTATAATAAATCAAAATATCAAAATTATAATTATGATACATTATACATGTATGTAAATATATTATATATTAATGGTATAATATTATGTATTATTGTATTAAATAACAAGTATTAACATATGAATATATGATATTATTATGGATAATAGCATATTGTGTATAATGTATAATATATAATATATTACAATAAATTCTAAATAAATTATACCATATATATTATAATGTCTCATTAATATTCTATATAATACGTAACATTATACATTATGTATTACATATGATACATTATACATATGCATTATAATAAATTCTAAATAAATAACTTCCATAACATAACAAGGGCAATTAGGTAATGGAATTGAAATAATGATTCAATAAGGGACAAAAAAAAATTATATTGATTTATTATAATCAATCAAAATATCAAATAATACATTATACATAAATAACATATATATTATATATATCAAAATATACATTATACATAAATAACATAATTTTTAGCTAGTCGTTTCTCTTTAAAGGATCTTGGTTTGTTGACATATTTTCTTGGTGTGGAGGTTGTGCCAAACAACCATGGTATTTTACTCTCTCAACGTCATTATCTAATGGATATTCTTGCAAGAACTCACATGACTGATGCTAAACCGATGGCAACTCCTCTTCCAACGAGTTCCTCTTCTCTTACATTGCATTGTGGGTCTACTCTTTCTGATCCAACAAAGTTTCAGGCAGTACTGGGAAGTCTTCAATATCTTCTTCTTACTCGCCTTGATATTGCTTTTGCGGGTAACAAGCTTCCACAATTCATGCATAGACCTACAACTAAGCACTAGGCTCTTGTTAAACGATTACTTCGTTATCTTTGTGGCACTACAAATGATGGCCTTCAGCTGTTTAAGGACTCTTCTTTATCCTTACATGCTTTCTCTGATGCTGATTGGGTTGGCAATCTGGAAGACTTTTCCTCCACCAATGTCTATATTGTTTATCTAGCTGAAATGCTATCTCTTGGAGTTCAAAGAAGCAGAGGACGATAGCTCGTTCCTCCACCGAAGTTGAATACCAATCAATTGCTACCACAACAGCAAAACTTAATTAGGTTTCATTTTTGTTACATGATCTGCATGTTCATCTCTCTACAAGTCTTGTTGCGTATTGTGATAATGTTGGGGCTACTCAACTATGCTTTAATCATGTTTTCCACTCACGAATGAAACATGTAGCTATTGATTTTCATTTCATTGATGATCAAGTTCAAGGTGGTTCTCTTCGGATTGCACATGTTTTCTCTGCTGATCAACTTGTTGATGCTCTAACCAAACCACTTCCCGGAGCCAAATTTCTTCTTCTCAAAGACAAGATTGGACTTTACTCCCGAGCTCCACCTTGAGGGGGCATAAAAGAGCCAATCCCATATTTGCTGATTTAGTTGTAACTAGGTTTTGAATCTTTTTGAATATTTCTTTATCTAACTTTGTATAAGTTGTTTCTACTGTTACCTACAATCAAGGAGTTAGTTTTACTGATTTAGTTTACACCTTTAAACACTTTTGTATTCTATAAATACTCAATTACATTAACGGAACAGAGATATCATTATTCCTCCCAATCTCCTTCTCTGTTATAAAGCAAAGAAATCACATTGAAAGTTGTGAAATTGGTAATGGTAAATCTGAAAATATATATAGTGAAGAGGAGAACTTCACTAAATATATAAGATTATAAAATTACTACTTATAATAAATTTTAAGGTTCTTGCCTTTGCTTTTCTCTCGTGTAAAACATTGGTTAGAAAATGATAGAATATTGCAGCAAGATGTTGAGGCCCACTGAGATGTAGCGAGACCAGCGAGCGAGCTGCACGCGCTTACAAATTATGGAGACAGGGCCCCATGATGCATATTTTCCCCTTTCTCGAATTTCCTTTAAATCTAGAAGAGCAAACGACATGTTCCCACCCAAAGATAAGTGAAATAGCAAGTTTCCACCCCTTGTTCCATTTATTCAACATTTTCACCCTTAACAGTGACTCTGTTAGTGACTGTGGAGCTCCAACAAGTGCTATTATGAAACTACCCTTGTACCATCCCATTCCAAACCACCCCATTCCCATTCCCATTCCCGTTTGGGTTTTGTGTTTTTTGCCCAACTTCCCAACCTTTTTCCGGCCACCCTCTCCACCGGAAATCATCCCCCACCCAGCCATTCAACTCACCAAACCACCTTCTCCAAAACCCCCATATTTCTCGACCTTGTTCACCCTATTTTCACCGTTGATTGAAGGTCATTTCCTTGGGGTTTGGTTGAGTTAAATGATGATTGGGGTTATGGTGCTTGTGTTGGGGTTATGATGTGGGCGGCGAGGTTTGTCGACAGGTTGGCACCGAATGCTAGCCAGAAAGTCCTGCAGCCATGGAAGATGAAAAGTCTCTTAGATGGGTTTTGCGGTAGCTGGGAGATGTTTTGCGGAGGCTGGGAGATGGTGTTTGAGGCGGCAAAGGGATAGTGGTAGGTTGTTGGCGGTGGAGTTGAGGATGGATTGGGTTGTTAGAAAATTTTGGTAAAAAGACATAAATACCCTTTAACTGTTATATTAAATGATTTTTGGTTAATTTAAGGGTGAGAATGTGGAATTTATTAAACTAGGGGTGGGAACTTGTCTTTTCAATAAACCTTGGGTGGTAACAGTCGTTGACTGAAATCTACAAAGGCCACGACCATCTATCTATAGGAGGACAAACTCAGTCTGCTGAGGGAGCTAAATTATGGCTACCAATTCACCATATCTGAGCATTTCTCTGGTATTTCTAGCACTATTAACATCTGGATCACTCATAATTGTCAGTCATGCATTCTCAATAAAAGAAGCAACCATAAGAGACATCCACCTAGCTTTCAAGCTAAACAAACTCACATCAAGGCAATTAGTTGAGCTCTACCTTGGAGAAATCCACAAGCTCAACCCCAAACTTAGAGGGGTCATAGAGGTGAACCCAGATGCATTGAAGTTAGCTGAAAAGGCTGACCAAGAGCGTGAGGCTGGAGCTGCCAGGTCGAAGCTTGGTTTGCATGGCATTCCCATTTTGCTCAAGGACAACATAGCAACAAAAGATAAGATGAACACAACAGCTGGCTCATTTGCACTGGTTGGCTCCGTCGTGCCACGGGATGCATTTGTGGTCACCAAGTTGATTAAAGCTGGGGCTATTATTTTGGGAAAGGCTAGCATGAGCGAGTGGGCTGCTTTTAGATCATTTGGTGGACCTCCCAATGGCTGGTGTGCAAGAAGTGGGCAAGGAAAGGTGAGTGGATCAAATGTTATTAACTTAATGATTGTGCTTTTCCTGCTGGTATAAATCATTTATAGCAATAATCAAATTTTATTTAGAGTAAGGCACTTACAGGAGGATGCTCTAAAATTTTAACTTATCAATGTTAACTAATACGCAGAATCCTTATCTTCTTTCGGCAACACCTTGTGGGTCAAGTAGCGGATCAGCAATATCAGTGGCAGCAAATATGGTAGCAGTGTCGCTAGGAACTGAGACTGATGGATCCATTTTATACCCATCTAGTGCTAACTCACTTGTGGGAATCAAACCAACAGTTGGTCTCACCAGCAGAGATGGTGTCATCCCAATCTCTCCAAGACAGGACACTGTTGGGTAGGTGATATTGAAACCACTGCAATCTTGAAGTTGTCATATAAGAATTGAAAATTTACAATTCTACAATAATTTTGATATTCAATGTGTCAGAATCCATTTGACTAATAATCCCCCACTTCGGTGAAAAGGAGGATATTGTTCAACCACCTTATATAATTTTGTGGATAATTGAATTCCCTTGGTTTTTTGAGTTAATTGATTAATATTCCTCTGTTTAGTGGAATTGTTATGGATTATGATACAAAATACTCTTGCTCTGTTGAATTCACACAGGCCTATTTGCCGAACAGTGGCAGATGCAGTTTATGTCCTTGATGCCATTGTAGGCTTTGATCACAATGATAAAGCAACCAGAGAAGCATCAAAGTACATCCCTCATGGTGGGTACAAACAGTTTCTTAAGCCTTATGGACTGAAAGGCAAACGATTGGGGATAGTGAGGAATACATTAGGTAGCATTGCAAACGAAACCCAAGTTGCAAAAGCTTTTGAAAACCATATCCAGACACTAAGGTAGCAACACAACCAATTTTAATTAACTTTATTATTATTTTTCACAATCTGGGTAGTCTTAAACTAAGTATAACAAAATGTGATTATTTTTATGGAAGTTAAGACAACAAGGTGCAGTTTTATTGGACAACCTGAAAATAGACAGCATCGATGGTGATGCAAGTGGTGAAACATTAGCATTAGCAGCCGAGTTCAAGCAGGCCTTGAATGCATACCTCAAGGGATTAGTTGCTTCCCCAGTTCGGTCCCTGGCAGATGTTATAGAATTCAACAAGAAATTCTCAAAATTGGTAACTAAATGCATAGATTCCCTCCATCTATACACTGTTTTAGTTTACTTGATACGTATGAATTTTATATTTGATAGTGAGCTAATAATGGATATGCAGGAAAAGACAAAGGAATATGGGCAATCTCTTTTTGAATTTGCACAGACCAGAAACGGTATTGACCATAAAGTGAAAGCAGCATTGTTAAACTTGACAAAACTCTCCAGAGATGGTTTTGTGAAGTTGATTAAGGAGAATAAGCTAGATGCAGTGGTAACTCCTGGTCTATATATTACTAGCAATCTTGCAATTGGTGGATTCCCTGGAATCACTGTCCCAGCTGGATATGGTAGTAAGGGTTTTCCTTTTGGAATTTACTTTGCGGGATTAAAGGGCTCAGAGCCGAAGCTTATAGAGATTGCATATGGTTTTGAGCAGGCTACTAAGATTAGGAAGCCTCCTTCATTTAAGCCTTGAAGCTTTATAAGAATGATAGTGTCTGACATTGAACTCCTTGATCCATGTTAGCAAAAGATGATAAACATAGCCTATTACCAATAAAGAGACAGTTATTGTTTCTACTTCTGTTTCAAATCAATNGGTTTTGAGCAGGCTACTAAGATTAGGAAGCCTCCTTCATTTAAGCTTGAAGCTTTATAAGAATGATTAGTATCTGACATTGAACTCCTTGATCCATGTTAGCAAAAGATGATGAACATAGCCTATTGCCAATAAAAAGACAGTTATTGTTTCTACTTCTGTTTCAAATCAATTTTATCTAATAAATTCACAAGTCCACTCGGTTGAAATATAGTTCACCCCAAGAGGATCTTAGTTTACTTACATCAAATTGCAGATCTGAACCTATATTCAACCTCTGCATACTGCTCTAGAAAGTTTTTTTCTGTAATACTTACATATATAGTATAATCCTTTTTAATAAAACTCGAAGCTAGGAGGAAATTTTGTATATGGAAAAGTGATACAACTGTAATGGATAATCTATAACTAACAGATGTTGATTTCTATATCCTAGTAGATATGGGAACTGATGTGAGGTAGTGATGGCAATGGGCCTGGCCGGGACCGGGTACCCCTTGGGTCAGGCCCAAGCTCGACCTCATGACAAAGGCCCAAGTCTGGTATGGGCCCGTCACAAGTATGACAGGTAAAGTTCAAGCCCAGCCTGATGGGTTTTTTGTAACCTCAGACCCGACCTAAGCCTGACCATTTTTTATTTCAATTTTTTTTTTATATTTTTAATTCTAGAAACAATTTTCAAATATTAATTTATTTTTTAATACTCACCCGATATATAAATAACTTTTCACAAAGTGCATTCATCCATCCATGTAGGGTTTGGGAAAGATAAGTGTGTGTATATATATATATATAATCTTGTAATTAAATATATAATATAAGGGTAATTTAGTATAATTAATACTAAAATTGTCGGGCTAGGCTGGGTCGGGCCTAAAGACATACCCAAGCTCGGCCTGTACCCGAGGTCGGGCCTTAAAATCAAGTCCAAACTCAAGCCTGCGAACATCGGGTAAAGCCCAACCTTTTCGGAACGGGCCAAGCCGGGTATTCAAAAATATCGGGCCAGTGCCATCTCTAATGTGAGGTAGCTAGCCGTTGCTGACATTGTTTTCAATCAAAATAATGTTGTTCTGGTAAGCGTGTCATGTGATTCTCTAAGAATGTCATATGACATGTATTACTTATAACAAAATTAACTGGAGGCTGGAGCTAAATTGAAACAGTCACGAACTTGCACTGTATGTTCATAGAACAATGCTTAATTATGCAGCCTGCCTGCTTCTCCAATATGGCAAAGATGAATGTGATGATGGTTTTACGTAAGGTTCTACCTTGGACAAAACTAACGGGGAAGTAAGTTGAATGTTTGCAAATATTTGGAGGCAAAGTTAATTTTTAAAAAAAATGGGGTGTGTATGGTATTTGTCCAGTTCGGAATCTGAAAGGGCGTTGTCGACTGTTAACTGCAAGGGTCAACCTTCCTTGCATAATAGTAATGTGATCTGGGTCACTTACCAGTGTGAAGATGACTTTCTCAATCAAAGAAGCAACCATAGACGATCTCCAACTCGCTTTCAAGCAAAACCAACTCACATCGAGGCAATTAGTTGAATTCTACCTTGGAGAAATCCGCAGACTCAACCCGATCCTTAATGGGGTCATAGAGGAGAACCCAGATGCGTTACACTTTGCCGAAGTAGCTGACCAAGAGCGACAGGCTGGAGCACCAAACTCAAAGCTGCTTTTGCATGGAATTCCCATTTTGGTGAAGGACAATATAGCAACCAAGGATAAGATGAACACCACAGCCGGCTCATTGGCGCTCCTAGGCTCTGTCGTGCCTCGCCATGCATTTGTGGTCACCAAGTTGATTCAAGCTGGGGCTATTATTTTGGGAAAAGCTAGTATGACCGAGTGGGCTGCTTTCAGGTCAATTGATGTTCCCAATGGCTGGTGTGCTAGAACCGGCCAAGGAAAGGTAAGTGGAGGATCATTTCCAGACAATTATTATATTATCTTGACTCATCACCTCTAAATAAGAATTGACTAAATTTTGGGCGCAGAATCCTTATGTTCTGTCGGCAGAAACTAGTGGGTCAAGTAGTGGATCAGCAATATCAGTAACAGCAAATATGGCAGCAGTGTCACTCGGGACTGAGACTTACGGCTCCATTCTATGCCCATCCAGCGCTTGTTCGGTTGTAGGAATCAAACCAACGGTTGGCCTCACCAGTCGGGATGGCGTCATCCCAATCTCCCCTAGACAGGACACTGTTGGGTATGTATAACATCACTCAATCTTAAGTACTAAGAAGTTCCGTCGTGTAAAAATATTTGGTTGGTTTCAAAAAGAAGAAGAAACGATCTATGGGGAAAGCTTAATACACAAATTATGAAACTTTAAAGGAAGTTTCGAGTACATTTTAGAAGGGTTGATGACAATCTTAGAATTTCAGAGGACTTTGTAACCTGTATTGTAGCCGAACTTTAAGAAAGGTCACTAAAATTAACTTAGAGAAGGAAAGTTCTTGGTTACCAAGAATTAAGATTATTACATTCAAAATTTTTTTTTTTTTAGTTGTCTCTAATCTAAACAGTATATAAGCATAATCTATGCAAACAACTTTCTAGACATAGCTATTCCTCTGTTTAATTGAAATTTATGATGACTTGGACTATATACATTGATTAATAAAGGTCCATGCCTTGTTGAATTCACACAGGCCTATTTGCAGAACTGTGGCAGATGCAGTTTATGTCCTTGACGCCATTGTAGGCTTTGATCCTAATGATAAAGCAACTGTAGAAGCATCTAAGTACATCCCACATGGTGGCTACAAACAATTTCTTAAGCCTGATGGACTCAAAGAAAAGAGATTGGGGATATTGAGGAATTCGTTCTTCAATTTGGCAAACAAGTCTGAAGTCACTGAAGCTTTTGAGCACCATATCCAGATTCTAAGGTACAAAACAGCCACTTTTTAACTAACTGTAATTTGGGAAAAGATGAATAAACTTAATAATCATAGAGGAAAAAATTGTCCTGATTTTTTATGCAAGTTAAGACAGCAAGGTGCAATTCTGGTGGACAATCTGAAAATAACCGAGGTTGATGATATCTTGAATGTCATTGCAAAATTTCAAACATTGGCATTGGCAGCCGAGTTCAAACCTGCCTTGAATACATACCTCAAGGGACTTGTGGATTCTCCAGTACGATCGTTGGAAGATGTTATAACAATCAACAAAAATTTCTCAAAACAGGTAACTAGTTGATCAGTATAGATTACCTCCATTTTTAAATTACTCTAGATTTGTTGTAAAGTTCATTGATGCTACTAAAGGTTACACAGGAAATGGTTGATGAATACGGCCAATCTCTTTTTGAATTGGCGCAGGCCACAAATGAAACTGACCATGAAGTGGAAGTGGCATTGTTAAATTTGAAGAACCTTTCAAGAGATGGTCTCGAGAAGTTGATTGAGATGAACAAGCTAGATGCAGTGGTGACTACGGGTCGGGAAATTATTTACGATCTTGCAATTGGTCAATTCCCAGGAATCACTGTCCCAGCTGGATATGATAGTAACGGTAGGCCTTTTGGCATTTACTTTGGTGGATTAAAGGGCTCAGAGCCAAAGCTTATAGAGATTGCCTATGGCTTTGAACAGGCCACCAAGATTAGGAAACCTCCTTCATTCAAGCCTTAAAGCTTTATAAGAAGAATGAAAAACAAAACCTATTGCCTTAATAAGGCAGTTATTGTTTCTTGCTTCTGTTTCAAGTCAATTTAGTATAATAAAGTCAAATCATTTACATCCAATTCTGCACTTGAAGTGATTCTATGCACTAAAAACATGTGTGTGATGACAGCTAAATCAGAGTTAAAGCATATATATAAGGGACAGAAATTATGTTCATTTCTCCTGCTAATTTACCTGATGCGTTTACATTTGGCTGCATGCTGAGCCTTTGCATACCATATAATGAAGAGGAATGCATAATACATTGACCCAAAAGAATCTGCTGGAACTAGAAAAACCCATTTCAACAAAATTACTGGAAATGGACGGCAAAAGCCTTGAACTGATCATACAGCTTATGCATCCAAAGCATCTACTTTGTAAATATTCCTCCAATAAACAGTAAGTTGGAGAACTGATTATGACATTCCCAGGCTCTAGTTTTTGCTTTTTCAAGGGAGCCTTATTATTGGATCATGACAGAATACTTGTTTGTAGCGAACATCTACACAGGAAAATACAAGTTCTTTCAACAAGTTGCCACAACTTTAACCAGCCTACAAATAGACCATCCCAATAATATACAACACTTAAAAACTATATCTCAAATAACATAAACTATCATGACTATAAATATACATAGCCTGAACACTTCTCATCTCAGCCAAGCCAGTCAAAACCTGAAAACTTGGCTTGTGGACTCACTGAGTTCATTTGCTCCTTTACATATCGACTATGACTACCAATACCTCATTGAACTTTTCTATCTACTCGACACTGCTTATGATTCTTCTATCAATATCAACTAACACCATCTCCAGTTATGCATTCTCAATAAGAGAAGCAACCATAAGCGATCTCCAACTGGCTTTCAAGCAACACCAACTCACATCAAGGCAACTAGTTGAATTTTACCTTGGAGAAATCAGCAGACTCAACCCGGTCCTTAACGGGATCATAGAGGTGAACCCAGATACGTTACACCAAGCTGATAAGGCTGACTATGAACGTAAGGTTAAGACACCAGGTTCACTTTCTGGTTTGCATGGCATTCCTATTCTTCTGAAGGATAATATTGCAACCAAGGACAAGCTGAACACCACAGCTGGTTCTTTGGCACTGCTTGGCTCCATCGTGCCTCGCGATGCCGGTGTGGTAACGAAGTTGAGGAAAACTGGAGCCATTATCTTTGGAAAGGCTAGCTTGAGTGAATGGGCTGCTTTTAGATCCTTAAGTGCACCTAATGGTTTCAGTGCTAGAGGTGGCCAAGGAAAGGTGAGCTGAAAGTAGGCCCTTGCAATTAATTATTTCCTTTATCGCAGTTATAGCTTAAAAGATATGTGATATTGTGTGCAGAATCCTTATGTTCTTTCAGCTGATCCGTGTGGGTCAAGTAGTGGATCAGCAATCTCAGTAGCAGCAAACATGGTTGCAGTGTCACTAGGGACTGAGACTGACGGCTCAATCTTGTGCCCGTCTAGCTCTAACTCAGTTGTGGGAATCAAACCAACTGTTGATCTCACCAGCCGAGCTGGGGTCATTCCAATATCTCCTAGACAAGACACTGTTGGGTAGCCATCTTAACTTATGTCTATGAAATGATTTTAAGATCACTTTGCTTTTAGAAGCACAGAAATCATCAATGCAGTATCATGTTATCTCTGCAATAATTTGTTTCAGAATCTTGTGTATTGCAATTATTTGATGTAACGTTAACAAAGGACTGCTGTACCAGGCCTATTTGCAGGACAGTTGCCGATGCTGTTCATGTTCTTGATGCCATTGCAGGCTTTGATTACAATGATCCAGCAACCAAAGAAGCATCAAAATAAATTCCATATGGTGGCTACAAACAATTCCTTAAGCCTTATGGCCTAAAAGGGAAGAGATTGGGAATAGTGAGGAACCCTTTTTTTTACTTTGACAAGGGATCTCCTCTGACTCAAGCTTTTGAGTACCATTTGCAGACACTAAGGTACTACAGCATACTTTATTATACCAATTTGAATTAACTATAGATTGACTCAGGCTTAATTATCTTATATCTTAATCAATTATTCAACTCAATTTTCTCCAATCTAGACAAGGAGGTGCAGTTTTAGTGGATCATCTGGAAATAGCCAACATTGAAGTTATATTAAATTCGACTGTAAGTGGTGAAGCAGTAGCGTTGCTGGCTGAGTTCAAACTGGCCCTTAATACATACCTCAAGGAGCTAGTGGCTTCCCCAGTGAGATCTTTGGCAGAAGTTATAGCCTTCAATGAGAAACTCTCTGGTTTGGTACGTATATATATGTTTTGCCAACTCAACTCAATTAATCTTTCATTCCAAAATAGTTGGGGATTACTGTATTTCCAACACTCATTAATTTCTTGAATAATCATATAGGAAAAGCTCGAAGAATTCGGCCAAGATATCTTCCTGTTAGCCCAAGCCACAAATGGAATTGGCAATACAGAGAAGGCAGCGTTGTTGAACTTAGCAAAACTTTCAGGATATGGATTTGAAAAGTTGATGAGAGAAAACAAACTAGATGCTTTGGTGACTCCTGGTTCAGCTGTGGCTCCTGTTCTTGCAATTGGTGGATTCCCTGGCATTAGTGTCCCTGCTGGATTTGATGGTGATGGTGCTCCCTTAGGAATTTGTTTTGGTGGGCTAAAGGGTACAGAGCAGAAGCTTATTCAGATTGCATATGGCTTTGAACAAGCTACTAAGATTAGGAGGCCTCCTTCATTCCAGCCCTAAGCTTTAATTAAAGACCATGTCTATTGAAGTTCTTCTAAAAGAACAATATATGATTACCATATGTCCATTAGTACTTGTGATCAAGTCTTGTTTCTGTTGTGGGATTTAATCAAATGCTAGCAAATCTTAAATTCCTATAAAAGCGAAAAAAAAAAAAAAATCTAACAAATGACAAATAATCATTTACACACAAACACAAGATTTATGTTAATTCACTCTTTGTATGAGAACTACGTCTACTTTGCCGTTATGAAATTTTATTATAAAGAAGAAAAATCACAAGAGTCTCTCACAAACCTCAAAAAATGGCTCTCTTACTAAATCTTTCTTTGGTGGCTCTCACTCTCTTATTTTGGTATTGTCTTCTATCGTATTCAATTACCTAACTCCAAAATTGGACCATTTTTTATAGGTAATACATGGGATCATATTTGTAATAAGCCTCAAATCTCTTATCCTAATAGGACTTGTATTTTAATTTCTAATAGAATTATATTCTAATTCTTAATTGTATTCTTAAAAAAAACAATTGTAAATAGAAACATATTAGGAAAACTCATATCCTAATGCAATACTAATTTGAATTGAATCATTATATATTTTTTTTTATTATTATTATTAAATTTTAACCTCCGATATATGTTTATTAGATCAAAAAAGTGAATGAATTAACTTGAAAATTACATGCAATTTTGAGTGTTGTTAAACCAGCTTAAAAATGAAACTCAGTGACATATTGTACTCAATAATGGCATCACCACTAGAAGTATCCAAGTGAACAGGTTTAAGCTCTGCAAACCCAATAGCCATCCTGAACTTACCTCTCTCTCTCCAACCACGGCCACCTCGTCGCGGACAGGATACATCACAGGATTCCAAAAAAAAAAAAAAAAGGGCCAACGAGCTTTCATTATTGAACTCACCAGTTGTGAAAGCAAAATCAACATACATTATTAAGCATCACGACTTGATGATACGTGTAAAGGACTTTTGCGTTGCCAATGATCTCTGAGGTTGGTTCGCTACCCGCTCTGAGGGGATCATCGATGGAAAAAACGCTGTCGAATGGCCTTTGGTGATGATGGCTTGTCGTTATTAGTGAGATTAACAATTAGGAGCATGGCCATAAATGCATGCAGTAGGGTTTTTGCCACTGATAATATCATGGAGGAAGAAATGGAGATCGGTTACTTTCTACTCCGTGTTGGAAGCTGGCACGCTTTTAGAATAGTATTTGCAGTGTGCTGATGAGACAGCCATGCAAAGGAGCATAGTCAAGCCAAAAATTACTTTACGTTCCATGTTTTCTAAAGAAGAAATTGACTTTTGCATGTATAGAAATTGTAACAAAATCAGATTAAGAAGTAATCAATCTGTTGTCATCCAGATCGCTTATCATTCCATAAAAGTGTTGCTTCATTTATAAATTTATTAAGAATTATTTAACTGGTAAGTCTTAAGGTTATATTGTCAGTTAGATTGCGTGTCACTCTATAAGAGGATTATTTCATGTATAAGTTCACTAATGTAACAGTATATATACTGATCTCTCACCCTAATTGGGGGATCTTTTGACCCTTTTTTCCTACCATTGGAAACCGTCTCATTTGCGCTACAAGCTAAGCTTTCTTGTATGTAAAAAACACACAATAAAAACAATAATATAACAATGAACATATGATCTGTGCCTTACATCTGAACCATTTTAAAGATTATTTGTTCTTTATATTTGCCTGTTCTTTTCATATTACTTGTGTATTAAAATACCGATTTACTACGAACCATCACGTAGATTTCATTAGAAAATTTACGTACTTCTTGTTGGTGTAAAAACTGCATCAACACAAAGCATGGTAAGTAAGAAATGGAAATGATAGAAAGTGGCTCACATGAATAAAATATATAGTCAAGACTATAAGAATACATATAACTATATTACAACTTGACTCGATCGGCTATGAAGCCATGCATCTTCCCTCAATTCTCATGAGTATACACATTGTTTATATATTACTTAATCCCAAAAATCAGTAATGAACCACAGTTACCTTATACTCAACAACGACATCACCAGTGTTTTCATTTACAAAATAGGTTTTAAGCAGAGCAAACCCTCTAGCCATCCTGAGCTTCCCTCGAATGCCAACCGCCGCAAGTTCACGTTCCCTCTCCAACACTGGGTTTCTCGAGAACACACTAATGGAGCCCCAAGTAAAACCAAAATCTAGGTACGCCACCAGAGTCACTTTATCTTGACTTGCAGAAATATACACCCCAAAAAGGCATGCTTCCATTCTATTCAATCTTCTTGAAAATTATACTCCCTCCGTTTCTATATAATTGTCGTTTTAAGCCTTTGCACAGTTTTTAATGAATTAATTTTATCTCTCATCAAATTGACTTTTTCCTCTAATATTGCAGGTAAGAAAATTTTGTTTTTCTCGCTGCACACATATGTGAAATATTGAATAATTTTATATATATATTGTCATTTTCTCTCTCCTATTGACTTTCTTTCATTTCTTTTATTCTGTTCGTCACTTACTTTTCTTTTACTCTGTTAGTCACTCATTTCTATTTCTCTTATTCTATTCGTCCCTCACCATGACCATCTCTTTTTACTGACTTTCATCTCTCCGATTCTATTTGTCACTCACCATAGCCAAACAATGTAATAGTAGAGGTGTGCTTAAGGAAATTGATTTGAATGTTCTTCCAACATTAGGAGCTACGAATGAAGTTGATGACATAACTGAGGAAGTTAATACACATGTGAGCCAAATAAACCTCACAAATAAATAAATACAAGCCATTTTTGAATCTCTGTTGAAGCAAAGTGTCAATGGACAATTGAAGAAAAACACTACATTTGAGGTGGCTCAATCATTTTCAATTAGTATGCGTACAGTCCAACACATTTGGCAACGAGGAAAAGGAAATGAAGTATTGGATTCTAACACTAATGTGTCTAGCAGAAAGGCACTCAATTGCGGGCGCAAGCATCTTCAAATTGACGTCAATCAATTTCGACATATTCCACTGCGAAGAAGGACGACACTGAGGTCTTTATCTGCTGCCACAAATTTGTCAATGACAACATTGTTTAGGCAGTTAAATGAGGGCTCCATACGTCGTCATTCAAATGCTATAAAACCTTTATTAAACGTGGAAAACATGAAAGCTAGAATACGCTTTTGTTTATCGATAATTTAACAAGGCAACAACCCCAGTTGTTTGAGGTTTGTAACCATAGAAAATATTATTCATGTTGAGGAGAAGTGGTTCTACATGACAAAGTAGTCAGAGAAGTGTTACCTCCTTCCTGACGAAGATAGGCCTTTACGCTCATGTAAGAGTAAAACTTTTATTACTAAAGTCATGTTTATGGCTGCAGTGACATGCCCAAGGTTTGATGAATTAGGGAATGAATTATTTTCTGGAAAAATCGGGATATTTCCTTTCATAAATAAAGAACCTACAAGGAGGAGCAGTAAAAACGATTATGTCGGAACCATGGAGACTAAAACAATCAATTCTATTAATAAAGAAATTTATCGATCTTACATAGTTGAGAAACTCTTGCTGGCTATCCGAGATAAGTGGCCAAGAATTGATGCAGGAAGTCCAATATTTATCCAACAAGACAATGCGAAACCTCATATTGGTTTGAATGATAAGTATTTTCAAAGTAATGCTACTAAGGATGGCTTCGACATGCGTTTGATCTGTCAACCTCCGAATTCTCCAGATATGAATGTTCTAGACCTTGGTTTTTTTTAATGCGATACGGGGACTACAATACCAACAAGCGCCCAACTCTGTAGATGCACTCATAAAGGCTGTTCAAAAGTAATTTAATGAATACTCGCCAACAAAATTGAATCATACGTTTTTAACTTTACAATCATGTATGATTTCAATTTTGAAAGCCAAAGGTTCGAACAAATCTAATGTTTCACACATGAAAAAACATAGGTTGGAGGGACAAAATTGCCTTCCTAGGCAGTTAGATGTTGACCCCGTGCTAATTGAAGAAGCAATTGCTCAATGTCAATAAGTGTTACAATTGACCTATCTAGTATTGTAGACTATTTTTGTTTTGTATGATGTTCATATGGGTTCTGATAAGATATTGTCTTTTAGGAGTAGTTTGTGTTTCATTTTGATTTTTGTGTTTTTTTGCTATAAAGAAATTCTACTCCAACATACAAGAAAATAACTTGTTCTATTTTATAATATAAGCTTTTGTTATGGTAATATATAAGAATGAGTCCCAACCAAAGGACCTTACAAAGTCACGGTCCTTGGACAAGCCCAAGAAACCAAAGCAAAAAAAAAAGGGATTAAAGTCCTAACAAAACATGTAGTTAGTCTAAGAAATACTAGACAAAAAAGGCCAGCAGTAAAAAAAGCAAGCCATCTAGGCACAAAGCAAACTGCACAGTCTATACATAAAGGTCCATAGCCAAAAAGTCTCAAAACTCCAGCCACCCTCAAGGAAATCCAGCAAAAGCTTCAATCCCTAACTAATAGAAAAACCAAGACTCACCACAGCAAAACTCCTGCAAAGCACACACCCAAGGACAGGAGAAAACAAGCAGCACCTCTTGGCAAGAATGGAAACTCCAACAAAGAAGGTTTTGTAACCAAATCCATGACCTGCAGCTTGGGGTAGCCACATGCCCTTCTCAACACCAAAGGCCCCATAGCATAGGCTAAAACAAAACATAGGCAAAAGTCACAAAAATTGATTCAAAACCCAAATAAAAAGTAGCAACCGACTGAGAAAAACTAAAACACCCAACAATCACTCTCACCAAGGAGTAAAAGGCCTGATCATCTCCTGGTGGCCATGCAAGCCATAACATCAGCGAACATAGCCACAGTAATAGGCACTTTATAGACTTCGGCATATGTAAAGTAATCAAGCAAATCACCCAATACACATTTTTGTTCATCATTCATATTAAGGTTGTCAATTAGTTCTTGAGAGTAAGACAAACATTGGACTTCTTTAACACCATTTTCACGAGCAACACACAGTCCATGATATAAGGCAAGATATTCTGTATGTAGTGTGTTAGAAGCTAACACATACTGTTGCAGTAAAGTCAAATTTCCACAACATGTATCACGCATTACAATGCCCACTGTTGATTTTTCCTGGTTATTCTAAACTCCAGAAATTTCA